TGCCCTTAAAGGCATAGAGGTGAGGTGATCAGCTGTCTTGGGTCATGCGGCTGATGACAACGTCCTAGGGATGCCAGCGCCATAAGCCCGGGCCCCTGACTAATTCATGGAGCAGGTAAAGGTCCAATTTTTACATGGTATAGAAGAAACTTCTACTTTTTTTGAGACTGTGTTTACTTTGGGCTCTTGTTACAGCTGCCAAATCTCTATCCCGACACAAAGTGGTAAAAGTCACAGGTAAGGGCTTCCCTGGTGGCGCAGTGGTTGAGAGTCCGCCTGCGGATGCAGGGGACACGGGTTCGTGCCCCGGTCCGGGAAGATCCCACATGCCGCGGAGCGGCTGGGCCCGTGAGCCGTGGCCGCCGAGCCTGCGCGTCCGGAGCCTGTGCTCCGCGACGGGAGAGGCCACAGCAGTGAGAGGCCCACGTATCACACACACACACACAAAGTCACAGGTAAGGGCTAAGATGTAGGGACTGAAGGAGATGTGGGGAGGAGAGGAAGCTGCAGAGTTTTTGTTGTTATACCCAAGGCAGTGTTTCTGTCTTGCCTATTGACCACCACCTGCAATGTAATGCCTCTGGGGCCCAGGGATCTATGCAAGCAGCTTGGTGATCTGTAGCGATCCAAGCCTCAGCAATTCCCTCCAGCCACCAGGCTGGCCCTGCTGTAGCTGGGAGGTTTCAGATCTGCCTGCCTTCCACAAGTGTCTCCATGCTGACTGGTGCTCCGGGTAGCCCCAGAGCCACCTACTTCTCCTACCTGGAGTTCAGTGTCTGCCTCTGCACCAAGGGTTTATTTCTGACCTTCAGGTTTGGGACTGAAGACAGACTCTGTGACGCTAAGTCAAGTCACTATCAGTTCTTACCTGGATCCCACAAGACCTTAAATGATCTGGCCCCTGCCTACCTCTCTGACCCTTCTCCCTATCACTTCGCTCCAAGCAGCACTGGCTCCATTCTGTTGAGCATCTTCCCTCATTAGGGACTTTGCTCCAGCCACTGCTTCTGTTTACAAACCCTCCCCTCTACTTCTTTGCCCTAACTCTTATTAAAATTTCAGCTCTCAGCTTAAATGTCATTTCTCAGGGAAGCCTCCACTGAACTCCAGAATATGTCCAATGCCACTTCTACACAGGCTCATGGCTCCTTGTACTTCTTCCTGGTGCTTATCATAATTGTAATTGTATAATAATTGGTGTAATTATTTGCTTAATGTTTCCCACTATTTCCCACTATTCTCTGAGCACCATGACAGCTGGGAACACGGGTGTCTTGTTCACTGACGTAACCCTAGAACCTAATGCAGAACTTGACACATAGGCAATGCTCCAGAAATATTTGTTGATGAATGAAAGTCCCTTCCAACCATAATTTTCCAGAGATTCCCCTCATAGTCACACGCTCCTCCCTCCACACTCCAGCGCAGCTCAGAGAAACAAATAAGCAATTAGGATGGGTCCACCCTCTCTCTGAGGACCTAGGACCAGTCGATAGTGAATGAGAATCATCTGAGGGTGAAAAGAGAGCTCAACAAAAGACAGAGCCTATTATTGTATCGGCAGCCAGAAATGAGCCCTTCCCAAACTGCTAACTGGTGGTCCCAGGCTTGCTTGTCACCTCTAAACTAATAGCAGAGAGCTTAGTGATCGGTAATATGATTTAAGCAGACAACAAAAATATTGATTAATAATTGTTAGCAAATAGCTATTAGAAGATAATTAAGGCATCAGTAGAAAAATCAAATATTAACTATTCAAGTGTTAGATGATTACCGAGGGATTCATTTAAAACTAAGTTGTTAGCAGATATTGCTTAACCAATGACTGAGGTAACAGTTGATAACAACATAAAATGAGATTTTTCCTAGGAGGACTCTTGCACATTAGATGGGACTTGGGAACAGCAGAAAGCTGACAAAGCCTAGGAATGAAGGTCTAATGTGGAGTGCAAAATCCTCAGCTGGACTCTAAACTGCTGGGGGGAACTGTTTGCTTGTCTTTGGTTTTCCAGATAGGGTCTAGGCAGGGACAGCATGGAGCCAGTGCTCAAAATGCTTCCCATATAATTAAATTTAATCTGCTAAGGGCCAAGCACTGTGCTGAGGAGAGAAAGGAAGGCAGTTGCTTAAACAATGAGAATGTGGTAAGTGAGCGAGTGAGTGCTGTGTGGAAGGAAAGGCTTAGGGGGGTTGTGAAGGCTGGGGATAAGGGAGAGCGGGTGTGTCAGGGAGAGGTGATGAGTTTAGTTCTGGAGACACTGAATTGAGGTGTCTCTAGTCACGCCCAGTAGGCAAGTGGGTATGAGTCCAGCATAGATACAAGGTAGAGATTTAGCTATCATCAGGGTGTAGACGGTGGTCAAAACCATGAGAAAATATGAGATGGTTGTGGAAGAGTATATGGAGTGAGAAAAGGGACCCGCCTAGAAGCCTAAGGAAGACCAATAGGGAAGGAGTGGGCAGAGGAGGAAGAGTCATGGACAGACATTGAGAAGGAAGGAGCACCCAGAGAGATGGGGGAAAACCAAGAGAAGACAGGGGCAGGAAAACTAAGAAGGGAAGAGAATGTGTCAGGGAGTAGAGTCATACAATCAGCAATGTCAGAAGCGGCTGACAGGTCAAGTAGGGTGAGGTCAGAGAGATGTCCATTGAGAATGTGGCTCTGAGTTGTTCATCACAAAAATTTCTGCGATAGCTGGATTTCAGTGTGTGTGTGTGTGTGTGTGTGTGTGTGTGTGTGTGCACCTGCACACACGCGGAAACGACCACGTGCAGAGCCAGAGCTTGGAGGAGGGTGTGTTAGGACAGGCTGGAGGCCACCACAGGGTGGTGTGTGGTCAGCCCACAGAAAGCCTTCATTTACTCTTGCAGCTTTTGGGAAGGATCATTAAGGGAGGCTTTGAGCACAGTTCAACCCTTTCACTGTCCAGGGGGAAAATGGAAGACAGCAGAGGGGGAAGAGTTTGCTCAGTCTGTGAGTCAAGGGCACAGCCAAGACTTCAATCTGAGCTTCCTTCTTCTAGAAGAGTGACTTTGGGAGAAGTAGACATGAAATTCTCATTGGCCGATAAATTATCTATCAGTGATTCTGCTCATCACCTCTTTTCTATATTTATATAAAAGTGAAATACGGATTTTTACATACAAAATTCAAACATTACAAAAATACTTGACAAAGAAAGTGAATGACTCCTGTTATCCCACCCCACACCCTCACGGACAGCCACCATGAATAGTTTGGTCTACATCCCTCCCTCCCTCCTTCCCTCCCTCCCTCTCTCACACTTAACATTGTAAATTTTTAATACAAATATTATTCTTGTTTGTACTGGATGTTTTCTTGTGTGTGCATGTGTTCATTACAACTTGCCATTTTTTCACTTTGGGACAACTTTCTATGGTAGCATAGAAATTAATTCATTCATTTGAATAACTTATTATTTTAATATATTTTTTATTATTTCCCTTTTTAAAAATATTTATTTTATTTATTTATTTTTGACTGTGTTGGGTCTTCATTGCTGTGCACAGGCTTTCTCTAGTTGTGGCGAGCGGGGGCTACTCTTTGTTGTGGTGCGCGGGCTTCTCATTGGAGTGGCTTCTCCTGTTGTGGAGCACGGGCTCTAGGTGCACAGGCTTCGGTAGTTGTGGCACGCGGGCTCAGCAGTTGTGGCTCGCGGGCTGTAGAGCGCAGGCTCAGTAGTTGTGGCGCACGGGCTTAATTGCCCCGCGGCATGTGGGATCTTCCTGGACCAGGGCTTGAACCTGTGTCCCCTGCATTGGCAGGCGGATTCTTAATCACTGCACCACCAGGGAAGCCCTGTATTAGTTATTATTATCATTGGGATTTGTACCATAATTTGTTACCAAACCATACTGATGGACACAAGGATTGCATCGAATTTTCACCATTATGAACAAGGTACATACATATTATTGTACACACATATTTGCACAGTTTGGGAGTCTTTTAAAAGGAGAAATGGTGGATCAAAGCATATAAACATTTTGTTTTAAAAGATATTGACAAGTCATCCTCTAAAAAGCTGTGCCAGTTTGTTGTCCCACTGACAGCTTATGCGAATGCCCATTTCCCCACATCCTCACCAATGACAGGTATTATCATTTAACAAAATCTTTCCAACTTGAATGAGGCTGAACACCTTTTCATATCCTCATTATCCGTCTCTATTTTTCTGTGAATTATCTGTTCTTATCCTTTGCCTGTTTGTAATTGTAGTGTACTTTTGGTCAGTGAATTCTTATTGGGCAATAATGATAGGCTTGATAAAAAAAAGTCTGGGAAGACTTGGTACCAAACTGCTAACAGTGTTTACCTCCAGGGAGTGACCATATAGGAAATGAGGGGGATAGTTTCATTTTTATTTTGTATCATCTTATTTTACAATGAATTTTTATTACTTTTGTAATTGAAAAAAATACATAGGAAAACAACAACAACAACAAATGTTTGGCCTGGATTCTCATGGCTGGAAATTCGTGTTGGGTTCAAGTTTTTATTGATCACAACTTATTTTTTGGTTCATATGCAAAAAACATTTATTGAACGCCTCCTAGTAACCTGGCACTGCCCTACGCACTTTCATAGGCCTTTCATCCTCAATCTCACAACAGCCCTGTGAGGTAGGAATTGGCCTCATTTTAGAGAGTTCATAACAGGTAGGAGATTATTGCTTGTACCTCTATTTGCCACATGTTTTCAGGGGCCAGAGGTTCTTACTGGTTGTTGAGTCATTGGTCAAGAGCTGTCACCGGTCAGGGGTTCTTACAGGTTGCTCTAAGATTCAAATAATCAAACTACTAGAATTTTCCCCAGACAGGAGTGATGGGGTAGGTGGGATAAGAGTGGGGGAAGGAGAGTCAGCAGTCTCTCCCTTGTAGCACCATTTGAGTTTGCTTTGGCCACTCAGTGAACACTGAGTGAACAGCCGCCTGGTGAACAGTGAGGGGAGGGGACAGTGGGACAGGAGGGAAAGTAGTTACAAGTCTTCTCGCTCCTTCAGGATGAGCTTCCTCACAAGCGCTGTAATCTGGGGCCTTAACTCCTCCACCGACATGGTTGGGTCCCAAGCCCCTATCACCTTTCCATCCGGGGCCACTAGGTACTTCCAGAAGTTCCAGGTGGGCTCCTTTCCAGAAGTCTCTAGAGCAAAGGAGGAAGGAGAGCAAGGTGTGCTTCCCTGTGTCCCCTCTCCTGGAATCCCACTATTGGTGTCCATCCCTCCCTTGAAGTAGTGGTTCTGTTAGTTAGAATGAACTGGAGAGCTTTGCAAAATCCTGATGCCCAGTCCATACCCCCAGACCGCTTAAGTAAGGATATCTGGGGGTGAGACTCAGGCATCAGTATTTTTCAAAAGCTTTCCAGGAGGTTGCAATCTGGTGCCCAGTTTGAGAACTACTGCTTTACGATTCTGTGAAGTGCTGGGCAAGGCAACATCAGACCTTCCTTTATTAATGACCTCAAACTACTACACAGTCTATGTCCTATTTTCTCATTAAATCTCAATGGTTTCCAAATGTTAGTCCATGGACTCTCTGCATCTGAATCATGGTGGTGGTGGTGGTAGAGGAGGGGGGTTAATATAAACAGATTCTTGGGCTCTGCTTCAGTAGGTCTCAGGCTAATGCATTTTTAAGAGCTCCCCAGGTGCTTCTAAAGCACAGCCAGGTTTGATCTATAACTATGGGAACTGAGAAGGAATAATAAAAACACACAGGGGAAAAAACCCAAATATTAGGATTGACCCACAAAGCAAAATTCAAATTGCCTCAGTAAGGGACCTTTTGTTTGCTACACTGTTGTTTGTTATTTACTCTTCCAGGTGAATGGATTGGTCGGGGGTGGCAGTGAGCGATATGAAGGCAACCAGAAGCATGGAATAAGAGGTGGGAGAAGGCAAAAATGGAGCCCCCAAAGGAAGGGAGAGGCCTGAGAAAGGAAACAGTACTTAATGACAAGCTTGGCTAATGACCCCATTTTGTGGTTCTGAGGCTTCTGCAGAAGGAATCTATTTCTCAAATATTAAGATCTGTTTGGTTTTTTTATGGCTGCGCCACACAGCTTGCTTGGGATCTTAGTTTCCCAACCAGCAATTGAACCCAGGCCGGGTAGTGGAAGTGCCGAGTCCTAACTGCTGCACTGCCAGGGAATTCCCAAGATCTGGTATTTTAGCTCAGAAGGTTTCTCTCCTGTGGCCTACACACTTTGCCTCTGACTCAGGACAGGAGATATGGGCCGGCCTTCTCCAGGCATGTGGCATCCCCTGCCTGCAGCTAAGTCCATAAGCTCAACTAATTCACACTGACTAAAATCTGAGGGTCCAGTCTCCTTTTAGGAGCCACTGTAGATGGAAACAGGAGCCCAGAGAAGTCTGCAAGAGTGACTCTGAGGGAGAACTGCAAGGCAGCAGGGGCGGAGATATTCTTAAGCAGGAATACTCCTCAGCTCATCCTCAAAGATTAGTGCTAGAACAGACCATCAACCCGCCTGTGCGGGTCTAAGGGGCCCCAGGTCACCCAGCCAGCCAGTAGCTTCTGCTGCCCAGGGAGCCACAGCCTCAGCCAGCTGAGGGAAGGTGAGGGAAAGGCTCAGGACTCACGGATCAGGTACTTGAAGGCAGGGTGGGCACCAGTGCCGGTGACTGTGATCTTGCTAAACATGGGGAAAGAGACACTGTAGGTGCGGCGGGCAAAGCTCTCAATCTCCTTGTTGCTGTTGGGCTCCTGCTGGCCAAACTGGTTGCAGGGAAAGGCAAGCACGTTGAAGTGGTGAGGCCCCAGGTCCCGCTGTAGCTGTTGCAGGGCCCGATAGTGCTGGTCTGTGAAGCCACACTCGCTAGCCACGTTCACCACCAGGGACACCTGGGTGGCAAAAGCAAAACCCAGACACATACACAAACCAGTGAAGAGGCACACACTTGTACATGGCCTGACATGCCCATGTATGTGATGCCCCCTCAACAATTAATGCTCTCTCTCATAAACATGCAGGGTCTTACAGACGTGTGAAAAACATACATAAACATTCATGAGAATAAGTACACAATACACATGAATGGGTATGCCTGTGCCCCACGACACAAAGATACATTGGCACACATCACACATGCCCACAAACACACAGAACACCATCACAGAGAGAGGCACACATACTGGTGAACTCACATCAGGAGGTGATACAGGAGAGAGAAAAGGCAGACCTGGGTTCAATTTCTGGCTCAGTCAACTAGCACTCATCATTCTACACTGTAGTGCCCTATACATGTGTTGGTCTTCCTTCTAGAATGTGAACCCACTGAGGGCAGGAGTTATGTTCACTTCATTACTGGGCCTGACACATGGAAAAGTCTCAGAAAGTATGTGCTGAATGAATAAGTAAGTGTGCACATATATATGATCACCTGAATGGGTACATAGACAGACATGGTTTTCTTGATAAAAGGATCCCAAGAACCTCAGGGTTCTTTTTGCCCCTCTCCCTCCAGCAAACAAATACCCTTTCTTCTATCACTAGACTAACCCTTAAATTTATGATTGCCTTATAATATATTTATTTATTGCCATTCAGTGATAAATATAAATCTGGCTGATGGAACTTGATTATATTACTGCAGTTACAATTTTGGCACCAATGTTATGTTTTTAGCTTCTAGTTATATATTATTAAAGGATTTAAATTCTCACCCTGTGTTTAGGTAGCCAAGCCCTATCTCTCTGGCCACTTCTTATTTTATTATTTTATTTTATTATTTTTTTTAAATTTTATTGATTGATTGATTTTTGTCTGCGTTGGGTCTTTGTTGCTGTGCACGGGCTTTCTCTAGTTGCGGCGAGTGGGGGCTACTCTTTGCTGCGGTGCGTAGGCTTCTTATGGCTGTGGCTTCTCTTGTTGCGGAGCACGGGCTCTAGGCGCGCGGGCTTCAGTAGTTGCAGCATGCAGGCTCAGTAGTTGTGGCTCACAGGCTTATTTACTCCGCGGCATGCAGGATCTTCCCGGACCAGGGATAGAATCTGTGTCCCCTGCATTGGCAGGCGGATTCTTAACCACTGCACCACCAGGGAAGTCCTGGCCACTTTTTAGAAGAGGCAGGATTATACCAGCTGGCTCCATAAAGAGGGCCACCTTCCAGCGGCAGCCTGAGGCACTGGACATGCTCGGGCACAGACTGCTGAGGCTGGACAGGGTTTCTCAACCTCAGTACTACTGACACTTGGGGCTGGATAATCTTTGCTGTGAGGTAGCTGTCCTGTTCATTGTAGAATGTTTAGCAGCGTCCCTGGCCTCCACCCACTAGACGCCTAGTCTTAACAATCAAAAATGTCTACAGACATTGCCGAATGTCCCCTGGGGAAAAAGATCACCACCAGCTGAGAACCACTGAGCTAGGTGATGAGAACCACTGTGCTGTATCTCCCTCACCCATTCCTTGGGGCCACAGGCTGTTAGAACAACCTCCCCCATTTTGTCAGCATATGCCATATTGCGCCTCTGGTGGTGAGAAACTGGGACTCTTAGCTCCCTTCACTAGTTAGAGGTCTTCCTCTTTCTTCTTTACTGGATCCTTGGGCATTGAGAGCATTAAAGGTTGTTTATTTCTAACCTACATCTTGTGTGTCTGCCCATACTTTTGGAAGGAGGGAAATCCTATTTCTATTTCCATGCCTGAATCCAAAAAGCTTATATTTAAAGTGACCAAAACACAGACAGATACACCTAAATACACACAGTAAATTTACATATACATATACAAGCACAGATGCAGACTCAGATGAGTACACAGAAGCAAGCAAACAAATAAACCATTCACATACACACTACACTCAGGCCTATATGTACATAACCTCACAGTGTAGGCAAGAGCATTCCTGAGTGTCACCCATTTATCTACACTCAACACTGGTCTAAACGACTGTCTTCCCAGTTAGCATGAGGGCACAAACCATACAATTTTGCTCATGGCTGTCTCTAGGGCTGGACCCAGTGGCAGGCATGTAGTGCCTATAAAGAAGCCAGTGTTTTTTGCTTCCAATTTAAAAAAAAACCATGGTAAAATACACATAATGAGCCAGTAGCTATTTGCAGGTGAATGAATGACCATATTGCCCAAGTGGCAAACCAAGCTTGGGTTAACACAAAGTTTCGTTTACAGGTTCCCTGGACTGACTGTTCCTGGTTTCCCTCTAAAGTTGGAAATAAGCTGGAAATTAAGACATGGGCTCTGGAACTGGACTGCCTGGGTTCAAATTCTAACTCTACCTCGTAGCATGTGTGTGACTTCGGTTTTTTTTTTCTTCTTTTTTCAGTTTCTTTCTGATTGATTTCTAGGCCTCTAGCTCCAATGCTTTTTAGGATTTACCAGTGACCTAGAGGATGAAAACACTCAGAATTCTGGGACTACTTTCCAGGTAATTTTTCTCCAGGATTTCTGTTCCTCACATCCTGGATGCCTTATTACTTCTGAAAACAAATAGCTTTTGTCTGTTTTTGTCTTAGCATCTATTACTATTAGGAATTACATTGTTCATTTCTCAGTTCCTTGTTTATTGCCTTTCTCCTCTCCACCACATATAAGCTCTGTTAAAGGGGAAACTTAGCTGTTTTGTTCACCGCTGTATCCCCAGGGCTGGCACAGTACTTAGTATACAGTAGGTGCTCAACAATAAATAATGAATTAATGAGTAGCAGAGCTGGTCAAGTGCTAAACCTGGGGCTCTCTGATGAGCTGCACCAGAGGGAAGGGAAGGCCTGAATGGCAATGGGCCCTGCTCTTACTGGCCCTTTGCCCTGAGTCCTGGATGAGGTTCCTGCTGGAGCCCAACAAACACAAGCACAGAGCACTCCACCAAGTGCTTCCACATTGTCACCTCATTTGAAACTCACAATACCTTGGGGCGGGGGGCAATCAGGACAAGCACTACTATCCACAGTACTCCCAGGGTAACTGAGAATTCCAAGGCTTAGAGAGTACTTTCTTCACTAAGGATGGCCTTGCTCCTGGGAGAAGAATGCTAACAGCCATTTGTGTGTGTGTGTGTGTGGTCCATCCAAATCTGGATGCTGGGCCTCCCTGTCCATTAGAAACCAACTCCCCACCCTTTCCACACCACAGCCTGAGGTCCACCTTGAGAAGTGAACTTGGAGGGCTCTTCATTACACACAGTGCAACATTTCGGTCTCTGAATGTAGCGTTCAAGGCCCCTCTTGGTCCCTCCCTACCTTCTTCAGCCTCATCTTTCACCCTCATGCTTTATACTCCTTGAAGCACAACTGCTTGAAGACCTCCCCACCAGCATCACCATTCTTGCTGTTTAGTTCTAAGTCTTGGCATTTGACAGTTCTCTTTGCCTGGAATGCTCTTCTTGGTCTTACTAAAACTCACTCTTGTTTCAAAGACTCACCCAGGCACACTTCCTCTCTCAAGTCCTCTCTGAGCTGAGATTCCCTCTCGGTTAGGAGGTAGCAGTTATACTGGATTACACTTAAATCTCAGCCTGAGCTGCCAGCTTAAAAGTTTGCCTAGAGTAGGCCACGGATGGATAAGCGGTTCTCCTCTAGGCTCCGTGCTTTCTAGCGCTGTGTGACCTTCCCTCTCTGGGACTTAGTGTACTACTCTCTAAAGGATGATTTGTGTAAGGTCCCCGTGCGTCTGAAATAACTCCCTCTGCACCGAGCTTTCATTTCCACAATGTTCTCACTGGACTTAATATCACCAACTCCCTCTGTTCCGAACGTGGAAACTGGGGATGGGAGAGACAAAGGCCCTAGGATGCTAGGGTTACTTTTTAGACCAGTGTGTGAGAGGCTGGGCCCCGCTGCCCAAAATCGCTGGGAGGGAAATCGGCGCCAGCAGCGAGAGTTTCGGGTTTCACCGCGCGCCGGGCCATGCCACGTAGTCGAGGGACAGACCCGGTGCAGGATCTGGGGGCGCCGCGCCCGGCGGGATGTCTGGGTGGGGGTGGGGAGCCAGGGCAGGGTGGCCGGGAGGCCAGAGCCCCCTCGGAGCCACACCCGGCAGGGTTCCGGGCCGCCGGGCGCCCCCGTCCGGCTCCGGCTGGGCGGTGCCGAGGCCCGGCGGGCGGACACTCACCGAGCCGCGGTACTTCTCCAGAGACACCAACTTGCCCCGGATGTTGACCGCCTTGAAGTCGTAGAAGTCCTGCTCCCGCTGCGCGCAGGCCGCAGACGCCAGGAGCAGCCATGCTGCCGCCAGTCCCGCCACCATGACTCGCTCCCGAGTAGGCGGCGTGGCGAAGGCAAAGGCGGGGCTGGGGTCACGGGCGCGGGGGGCGGGAGGAGGCGGCCCCGGCTCCAAGCGGCCAGCCGGGCAGGACGCGCCCCCTTCTCCGCGGGCGGTGGACAGCCGGGCTCTGGACCTCAGTCTCCCCATCTGTACTGCGGGAGCGTTGGACTCCGCGCCCCTTTCCGGACCCTAGAGCCATGTTTTCAGGATTCTGCCCGCTGAGACCGGAATTCGTTTCAATGAGGCTCCCTCTTGCTCCAGGATGCAGCGACTAGGTAGGGAAAGGGAGGTGGAAAACTGCATCTGGGAGCTTAGCTAGTTTTTAATTAGTGCAGTGCCCTTAGGCTGGTCGCTGCACCTCTCTGGGCCCCAGTTTCTCCATCTGTTGCCTTCCCTGATGCACCTAGACAGTACAGAATGAGAGTAATAGAAAAATGGATGTGAAACTTTTTGTCAGCTGAATGGTGCCTACGAACTTTAGGTGAATGAATGGACGTCCCCTGAAAGGGATGAGACAGAGGAGAAGAGAAGAGAGAGGGCCTATTTCAGGTTGGGTTCCTGGGAAGCAGATTCTGAGATGGAGATTGCAGTAAAGGGTGTTTATGAGGGAGTGCCCTTGGGATCCACACCTGTGGAAGGGAGGGGGAGGGAACAGGAGTGGGCAGAAGTCCAGAGGTCCACACAGGCCCAAGGACAGTCATGGCTGACCCCACAGGGGCTCTGGAACTAGAATGGCCCATCAGAGTTGTCCCCAGATGAGCTAAAATGACCACACCGGGCCTCTAATGTCCCTGCCTTCATCTTTCATGGGATGTGGGGCCATCTGGGAAGGGCTATGACAGGAACCAAGGGGGCCCTGTCCCTGGGGGGCTGACAGTTAAAGGCTCTTCACTGACAGCATTCCCAATAGCTGGTGTTACAAGTCTTCACTGATGGGGGATCTGGGCAGCACTTCACAGTGTCTCCCAAACTTGGAAAACCCTTATGGAGCCCCACTAAGTGCCAAGCACTGTGCTGGGTGCTGACGCTGTGCTAGTTCTCCAGGAGATCGCAGGCTGGCTTGAGAAAACTGGAGCTTTCATGTGATGTGGTACAGGCTAAGCACTTACACAGTCATTCAACAAACACTTTTCTTTTCTTTTTTTTTTGGGGGGGGGGTACGCGAGCCTCTCACTGTTGTGGCCTCTCCCGTCGTGGAGCACAGGCTCCGGACGCGCAGGCTCAGCGGCCATGGCTCACGGGCCCAGCCGCTCTGCGGCATGTGGGATCTTCCCGGACCGGGGCACGAACCCGTGTCCCCTGCATCGGCAGGCGGACTCTCAACCGCTGTGCCACCAGGGAAGCCCAACAAACACTTCTTGAGCACCCATTCTACACCAGCTTCTGTTCCAGGTGCCCCTCATGCAGTGATGAACAAGACAGCATGGGGGAGACAGTTATCAAATCATTCATAAATATCTCTAAAATTACTATTGTGGTAAGTGCCACCTAAACTAGCCTGCGGAGGGGACACAAGGAGGGCTTTCTAGAGGAAAGAAGTTTTGAGGTGAGCTCTGAAGAATGAGTCGAAATTAGCCAGGGTAAAGCAAGTGCAAAGGTCCTGAGAGAGAAACATGGTGCACTGAGAAACAAAGACTAGTTTGGCTGGAGCAGAGAGAGCAAAGGGTGAGAAGAGAAAGGTGGAGAGGCAGCACAGGGGTGAGGTCACACAGACCTGGCAGGCCACAGTGAAGATTATGGTCTTTAAGCCAAGAAATGAAACTTCTTTCCTTTTTTAAGCAGGGGAGAGGCAGTGAGTCCTATGTTGTAGAAAGATTCCTCTGGATTGTAAGGGGCAAGAGCAGATGTGCTCCACATGCTGGCATAGAGGAAGCTCTGGGGTTTTGTGGCCATTGCTAAACTAGCCGTCAGGAAAAGCCTCCTGGAGGTAGTCACACCAGAATCATGTCTTGAAAGAGAAATGGGAATTCTCCAGTTTGGGAAGGGGGAGGGGAAAGATGTCAGCTGAGGGAACAGTGTCCGTGAAGACACAAAGCCCAAGAGAAGTGCTTGGCTGTTGGCTGAGAAGGGGTTTGGGGTAGATGAGCCTGGAGGGATCATCAGGGGCCAGATGGAGAAGGGTCTTGAGAGCCAAGCCAAAGAGCTTGGACTTCACTTTCTAGACCAGCGGTCCTCAACCATTTTGACACCAGGGACTGGTTTCGTGGAAGACAGTTTTTCCACGGACTGGGGGTGGGGTGGGGGGTGGTTTCGGGATGATTCAAGCGCATTACATTTATTGTGCGCTTTATTTCTATTATTATTACATTGTAATATATAATGAAATAATTACACAACTCACCATAATGCAGAATCAGTGGGAACCCTGAGCTTGTTTTCACTTGCCACTCAGTGATAGGGTTTTGATATGAGTCTGCAAGCAATTGATTTATTATAGTCTCTGTGCAGTCAAACCCCTCTGCTAATGTTAATCTGTATTTGCAGCCGCTCCCCAGTGCTAGCATCACTGCCTCAGCTCCACCTCAGATCATCAGGCATTAGATTCTCATAAGGAGCATTCAGCCTAGATCCCTCGCATGCGCAGTTCACAATAGGGTTCGAGTTCCTATGAGAATCTAATGCCTCCGCTGATCTGACAGGAGGCGGAGCACGGGCGGTAATGCGAGGGATGGAGAGTGGCTGTAAATACAGAGGAAGCTTCACTCAGTCGCCCACCGCTTGCTCACCTCCTGCTGTGCGGCCCAGTTCCTGACAGGCCACAGACTGGTACCGGTCCTTGGCCCGGGCCTTGGGGAGGCCTGCTGTAGACTGTGGCAAGCAAAGATTTTGAAGCTGGGCACAAGTTTATACAGTTAATAGGACTCAAACCCGGGACTTCAGATTCAGAACATGAGATCTTTCTGTACCACCAAGCAACCTCTCTCTTCAGAAGCAGATAACATTATACGGAGAGGTGGAGAATAGGAAAAAGGGTACCCTAGGCAAGGGCCAAGGCAGAAATAAAGAACTTCTCCCCTTCATACTCCTTCCTCACACCCTTCCTGTGGGAGTCTTGAGCCTCTGATGGGTCCTGTGGAATTAAATGGTCCGCTCTTCCCTGCTTTGCCCTTGTGAATCTTTTGGTCTCCTTTCCTTGGGTGTCCCAATAACCAGGAGTTCTCAAATTCTGCTCCACACAACTTGGAGTTCTGCAAGCTTGGCCAGGCTATTTCCTGTTAAAGTCCAGATAGGTAGGCATTTCTAGTAAGCAGAGGGGGAAAAAAATTATAATGAAATGTCTCTCACTTGTAAATTCTCTCTGGGCTTTTCCCTCCTCCCTAATCATGCTTCAGAACCTAGCTCAGATATCATTCCCCTCTGCTACTACACGTAATCATTCTCTCCTCTCTGTTGCCTTTGTACTTAGGACATTTTCCTGTTAGAGGGATGATGATAATATTGTATAGTTGTCTGTTTCCATGGCCTACCTTCCCCATCAGACTGTGAGCTCCTTGGGGGCAGGCAGGATTGTACCTGAATCATCTTTGTGCTCCCAAGCACGTGCTAGCTACTCGGTAAATACTCATTTTTCTTTTTCTTTTTCTTTTTTTTTTTTGTGCGGTACGCGGGCCTCTCACTGTTGTGGCCTCTCCCGTTGTGGAGCACAGGCTCCGGACGCGCAGGCTTAGCAGCCATGGCTCACGGACATAGCCGCTCCGCGGCATGTGGGATCTCCCCGGACCGGGGCACGAACCTGTGTCCCCTGCATCGGCAGGCGGACTCTCAACCACTGCACCACCAGGGAAGCCCAGCACTCATTTTTCTTAAACCTTCTGGTGACTTTTACTACTTGGCTATGTTGGAATCTAATATGAAATGTTGATTTTAGCCAACAGTGTATATTTTATCATTTTATTTTCAGTCCACTATGAATTTTTGGTGTTCCTGAAAGAGCACAGCTATTTCTAGGTGGTCCATCTATACAAACAGGAGACCTACAGGCACAGACAAATGCACATACAGTCTCAGCTGAGCACCTGGAGGAGTAGAGGACTCAGTTGTGGATCTCCCCATATTCCTCTTTCCCATAATAAGCTCAAAGAAGCTTTTTATGGGTATTTAGAATACCTATTAATGTTTTGTTTGTTCAACAAATTGTTGAGCACCTACTATGCACAAGACGCTAATTTAAGGGCCAGGAATATAGTAAATAAAACAGACAAAAAATTCTTGAACTTACATTCTAGTGGGGACAGGAAAGGATAATAACTAAAATTTATAATATGGAACATATAGTACATTAGATGGTGATAAGCAAGAGAGAGGGACAGAGAATGTGGCAGTAGGGTGGGAAGGGATTGCAACTTTAATTCAAGCATAGGGATCCTCACTGGGAAAGTGGCATTTGAGCAAAGATCAAAGGAAGAGAGCAAACAATGGGGAAAACTGGAAGAAAGTAACATTACACATAGAGGAAACAAGTAAAAGGCCCTGAGGCAGGAAGTGATGTGTTTGGAGAACAGCAAGGAGGCTAGTGTAGCTGCAGTGAAGTGAGGGAGGGGATCTGTAGCAGGAGATGAGCTTAGAGAGGTAATGGGATGGGAGTGGGGGCAGAGACTTATAAGGCATTTTAAAGTTATAGGCTTGGAATCTGAGTGAGGTGGGAAGCCATTGAAGAGTATTAAGCAGGGGAATGACATTTCTATTTTAACAGAATCACTCTGACTGCAGTATTGAAATAAGGAGACCAGTCAGAAGGCTATTGCAATCATCCACGTGGGGGAGCATGGAGGCTTAGATCAAAGTGATGGCAGTGGAAGTGGTGGGATGTAGTCAGCTTCTGAGTGTATTGTGAAAGTAGAGGCAAAAGGATTTCCTGATAGGTTGGATGTAGGGTATGAGAGAAACAGAAGACTCATGGATGATTTCAAAGTTTTTGGTCAGAGCAACTGGAAGGATGAAGTTGCCATTAATTGAGATGAAGACACCATCTTCATTCAGCG